CTATATTGGAGAAATCAAAATCAAACGACTGTCATTGCCCAACAGTAATGTTACATATCAACACGCATTTATGTCCAGCACAATTTAGGGGTTCATCTTAGCGGGAAGTGCTAGAGTCACTGATACACAGCGTAAAATTTATTGCATTCATACTCATCACATTTGTCATTATCGCTGAAACGATCGTTATCAATTAGCATCATCTAGCACTTTACCAGTCAGGACAACTCCTTGTTTTGGATGAACTGGCTTACAGCATGGAACACCTGTGGTGCACGCCACTGCGCAGCCATGTGCCCCGCGCCTCGTACCGTCAGAAATGTTAGATTTGCAGATGCTGTTTGGTACAAAGTTTTGAAACCAGCGTGTCCATCGACGTGCCAGTTTTGCTTCTCTCTTCCGGACATCTGCAAAATAAGTAGTCAGCATTTCGTTTTTATCTAATTAATCATACAGGACTCAAAATGTATCTAAGAAGCAGCACACTGCTTTCAGCTTAGCGCGAAAATGCAAAATTGTACCGGAAACCCCGATGAGCGATTGTTGCCTGGATTTTTAATATGCAACATAATTTAGTATCCTTTACTTGAGAAGTAATTGGGGTCGTAATAGGAAAGAAGGGATAAACCGGTGCACCCGCACTAGCACGCAAGGCCTAGTCCAATTGCACATCAGTGGCGTCAGATTTCTATACTGACCTTTAGGACAGTCTGGCGACTCCGAGAATTGACAGTTTTCAACCAACCTTCAAATTGAGCTTGTATGCGAAGCGTTGACCCATTAGGAAATTGCATACCAAATCGGTATCTCCGTAATAAAGTAGTATGGAAAATTTTTTTGACATGAGCCATTTAAATGTTGCAGACATATCATCGTACTCCTTCTTATAGCTTTTTGTAACCTGTGAATAGCTACTGGAGTTTGAATTGAAAAAAAAAAAGTCACATATGAGCAAGAGCATGAGTGTGCCTATATTTCGCTACTGTGCTATAAGTAAATACGCATGAAATTTTTGATTTTTATGCGAATGTACTGTTAATTACACTGTACGGTTATTTGAGATGCCACTGGTCTCATGGCAATTAAGCGGTGTCCAGCTTTTTC